TACTACTACTACTACTACTACTACTACTACCAACGATACGACCAATAATCATAAGCACAATCGCGTTACTAACAAAACTGTTACGAATAACTTGCATACTGGTTGTAGTGGGGAAGGAAGGAGGAGGAGGGAAAGCCTACTCGGGCTGACCCTGGCTTCGACTTGACAGGTGCCCCCCATCTTTGAATGACGACTGTTCGCAATTCTCTTTTCAAGCAAGCAAGTCCTGCAAAGCAGAACAGGCGTCAATTTCTCGCTCGCGCCCTTACCAAGCGTCGATGGGCGAGATGCGATACTGTGGGAGGGAGAGACAGACAGAGAGAGAGGAGACAGGGAGAGAGAGAGAGAGACAGACAGAAGGATGGAGGGAGCGAGAGAAAGAGAGAGAGAGAGAGAGCGAGAGAAAGAGGAATCTTTACGGAGAAAAAGAGAAACAGAGAGAACGATAGAAAGGAAGAGAGAGAGAGAGAGAGAGAACGAGAGAGAAATACCAAAATACTTGTCCTGGCTAAGGACCCAACCATATGCAGTTGTGAGTACCGCAATTGTGAATATCTTCTTCGGTAGAGCTCCCAATGGGGCCAGAAACGCTGCACTGGGTGGGGGAGAACGCATGCGGGCGGTAGCACTGGGGCCGTCGGTGGAGCTCCCTATGGGGCCACGAAGCCGAAACGCTGTGGGGGGGACGCGTGCGGGCGGTAGCACCGGGACCTTCGGTGGAGCTCCTTATGGGGCCACGGAATGTGAGGGGTGTGCTGAAACGGGTGATGACGATGATGATGGAGGGAGGAGGAGGGGAAGGAGGAAGGAAGGAATGAGGAGCAAGGGGACCGTCTTTTCAAAACGAGGACCCAACACCACAGGATGGTTGGGAAATGCAAAGATATAGACACACACGCAAAGAGAAAGAGAGAGAAAGAAAGATAGATAGAGAGAGAGAGAGAAAAAAAAAACAAGAGAGATCAGCAAACAAACAGAAAACTAGGGAAAGAGAGAGAGAGAGAGAGAAAGCGAAAGCGCGCGAGCTCCCCACCGATGGCCCGAGAGAGGCCGAAGTCGCAGATCTTCACCGTGCAGTCCTGACCCGCGGCCCCACCCCCCACCCCCACACGGCGGCGAGGGGGGGCCAGGGCGGCGGCCCTGTGACGGGGCAAAGTTTCCCCTCCCGCCTTCATTCCCTCTCTCTGGCGTCGTCGTACCCTGCGCCCCGGTCCTTGTTCACAAGGCAGTTTGCCGGCTTCAGGTCGCGGTGGTAGATCCCCGCGGAGTGAAGGTACTTCAGCCCAACCAGCAGGCTGTACAGCAGGGTGTTGATGTGCATCGCTTCTGAACGGCGGGAGGATATATATATGTGTGTGTGTAAATGTATACGTGTATATTTATGTGTGTATGCATGTATGTATGCATATGTTTATGATTATGTTTATATGTGGATGATCATGATTATGTGTCTGTATGTATGTACCCACATACAGTTGTATGTATGTATGTATGCATGCATGCATGTATGTGTGTGTGCTTGTTTGTTTGCTTGCTTGTTTATATGTGTATATAGATGTCTAGAATTATATCCATATATACATAAGGACATATACTTATATATATATATATGTCAAGACAGAAAGAGAGAGAGAAAACAAAATAAGAGAACAGTGTGAGAGAGAGAGGGAGATATGCAAAATGCTGATGTGCATGGCTTCCGCACGAGGGCCGCGAACGAAAGCGCAGCTGATGTGTCTGTATGTATGTACGTACATACAGTTCTATGTATGTATGCATGCATGTATGTATGTGTGTTTGTTTGTTTATTTGCTTGTTTATATGTGTATATATATGTATAGAGTTATATTCATATATACACATGGACATCTGTATATATATATACATATATATATCAAGACAGAAAGAGAGAGAGAGAGAGAGAAACAAAGAGAGAGAGAGAGAGAGAGAACACAAAATAAGAGAACAGTGTGAGAGAGAGGGAGAGAAGCAACATGCTGATGTGCATGGTTTCCGCACGAGGGCCGCGAACGAAAGCGCAGCTGGAAAACGGCAGCCGAAACTGATTGCGAATGGGAAGCATACGTCTCTGCGGCAACCCATGGAAACCTCCGACAGCATCTTGTTGGCTCTTGCGTATCGACGCTGATCGACGCTAAACTGGCGCCGATCGGCGCGAGGTCATCGAATGCCAAACGCTACTCGACGCTGGGGCAATCTAAAGACGGAGTTGCGAGGATACACGTGATTCCCATGATTTGCCGCCGGAATGCACGAGGGGTGACGCGCACAACGCCCCGCTGGACTTATCCGCTCACTGGGAGCCGATATAAAACGCATCGGATTCTGACTCAATGTCCTGCACTGGCCCAGCGCCGATATAAAACGCGGCCAATTTGGTATCGGTCCCCCCAGGGTCCCATTGCAAAAAATACTACGCGCGCGCACCCGTTTATCAAAAACATATAAATTTTCAAGAACCCCTTTTGCGAAAATGCGACGAAGTGCGCACGCGCGAATCGTCGCGCGCGAATGCCGAAATCTTTCAAACAATTTGGGTTTCGGACAAATTTCAAAATCGAGTGCCCTCCCCCAAAAATAAGCATTGGGTGTCGCAACACGGATGTTCAACAAAAACGTGCGCGCGCTCTTGCGAATTCTTCAGACAAAGATTGGTTTTCAATATGTTCAAAAAAGAAAATAATACCAAACGGGCGTCGCGCGCGCGCATGCCGAAATCGTTCGAACGCCCTTGCGCGCGTGCCGTCGCGAGAACCCCTTGCAACAAATGGGACGAAAAGCGAGCGCGCGCGTCGTAGCGCGCGCGTCGTCGCGCGCGCATGCCAGCATCCTTCAAAACCTTCGGTTTCGGGCTTCGCAACCGAATGTCCAAAACACATACACAAACACAAGTTTCTTTGCAACGCGGATGTTCAACGAAAGCGCGCGCGCTCTTGCGAACTCTTCAAAAAACCATAGATTTGCAAACAAAAAACATAGCATGTTACCAAACGGGCTTCGCGCGCGCATGTCGAAATCGTTCGAACACCCTTGCGCGCGCGCTGGGGTGGCCCGATCAGTACCAAATAATACCATGCGAGCCACTCTCGCGCGTCTGCCGCGCGCGCATTTCGAATTCCTTCCAAAACTTGATTCACTGACGCGAAGACGCCGTAATCGTCGTCGACGTGATCGGCATCGGCGCCGTCATCGCCACTATGATCAGCATCGCGTCTACAAGCGTCGACGTTGCCATGATACCGCGCCCGCCCAACTCGCCGACTCGCACACTTATGCCCGCTGGGATGTGCCGAGCGGTCAGCGGTCAGCACCACCGCAGCCTCGTCGGTCGCGCCAAACTACCTGGCCGCTGCGCAGGCGCATGCGCCGGCTAGCGCGGCCGCAGAGGTGCACCAGCCAACGCCCAGCAGTCATCGCAATCGCCACCGCATGAGGTATGCAAACCAAGTTGCGGGTGGTTGGGTGGGGTGTTTGCGCGAGCAGTGGAGTGGACAACTCACTGCGAACAGAAATTAATTCTCCTGTCAAAAAAAAGGAAGAACAGACTCGATTCCCACCCGGAATTAACGATCCCCCTGGGGTATTGCGATTTCGTAGTTATTCTACACACTCGTCCATCCTAAATATGAATTCATACTATCCCAGACGAACCAATATCACCCCCCCTCCTCTGCGAAAAATAATATGCGCGCGCTGTCGTTTATCAAAATTCATATGTTTTCAAGCATATCTTGCAAAAATGGGACGAAGTGCGCACGCGCGCGTCGTCCCGCGCGCATGCCGAAATCCTTCCAGAACTCTCGGTTTCGGAAGGATGTCCAAATCGAGCTCCCCAAAAACATACGAAAACATATGGTTTCGCAACACTGATGCTCAAACAAAGCTTACGCGCGCGCTCTTGCGAAATCTGAAGAAGAAAGAACTACCGAACGGGCTTCGCGCGCGCGCATGTCGAAATCTTTCGAACGCCCTTGCGCAAGTGCCGTCGCGAGAACCCTTTGCAAAGAATGTGACGAAGTGCAGACGCGCGCGTCGTCGCGCGCGCATGCCGAAATCCTTCGAAAACCTTCGGTTTCGGGAAGACAAGAACGTGTGCAATAAACGTACGAAAGCCCAAAATTTCGCAACACGGATTTTCAATTAAACCGTGCGCGCGCGCTCTTGAGTCGTGGTCGTCGTCGTCGCCGTTCTCCCTCCTCCCTCGTCGTCGTCGTCGTCGCCGTCGTCGTCCTCTGTCTTTCCTCGTCGCCGTCGTCTTGGCGTCGTGGTCGTTTCCGTCGTCGTTGTCGCCGTGGTCGTCCTTCCTCCGTCGTCTTCGTTGGCATTTCGTCGTTGTCCCTCCTATTTCGTCGCCGTCGTCGTTTCCCTCCTCCCTCGTCGTTGTCGACGTCGCCGTCGTCGTCCTCCCTCCTCCCTCGTCGTCGTCGTCGTCGTCGTCTTCGTTGGCGACGTGGTCGTCGTCGTCGTCGTCGTCGTCGTCGTCGCCGTCGTCGTCGTCGTCGTCGGCGTCGTCGTCGTGGTCGGCGGCGTCATCGTCGTCATCGGCGTTGTCATCGTCGTCGTCGTCGGTGTTGTCGTCGTCGTCGAAGTCGTTGGAGACGTCGTCGGTGTCGTCGTAGTCGTTGTCGGCGGCGGCGGCGTCGTCGTCGTTGTCGCTGTCGTCGTCGTCGTCGGTGTCATTGCCAAGTGCCATGTGGTACCCACCGTCACGGTCTTAAGAGGTGTTGCAACCAAGTTGCGGGTGGGAGGGTGGGATGTTTGCACGAGCAGTGGAGAGGACAGCTTCAAGTTGAGCAAGTGATTGATTCTCCTATCTAAAAAGAGAATAGACTCTCCCCCCCCCCGGACTTAACGCTTCCCCCTGGGATAATATAATTTCATATATATATATGTGTATATATATATATATATTCTGCACCCACTCGTCCATCCTAAATATGAAATCATATCATCCCAGCCAAACCGGTATCCCCCCCTGAGGTTCCGTTTTTTTTTTTTTTTTTTTTTTTTTTTTTTTTTTTTTTTTTTTTTTTTTTTTTTTTTTTTATATATATATATATATATATATATAAAAAACAAAACACTATGCGGTGACATTTTTTGTTCTAACATGGCACTTTTTCGCGAATCCCTTGCAAACAATGGGACGAAGTGCACACGCGCGCGTCGTCGCGCGCGCATGCCGAAATCCTTCAACAACCTTCGGTGCCCGAGGGATTTCGCCATCGAGTTTCAAAAAACATACAAAAACACAGGGTTTCGCAACACTGATTTGCTAAAAACACTTCCGCGCGAGCTCTTGCGAAATCTTAAGAAAACCATTGGTTTTTCAACATTTTCACAAAATGCTCCCAAACGGGCGTCACGCGCGCGCATGTCGAAATCTGTCGAACGCCCTTGCGCAAGTGCCGTCGCGAGAATCCTCTGCGAAAAAATGAGACGAAGTGCAGACGCGCGCGTCGTCGCGCGCGTACGCCGAAATCCTTCACAACCCATCGGTTTCGGAAGGATGTCGTCGTCGTCTTCCCTCCTCCCTCGTCGTTGTCGTCGTCGGCGTCGCCGTCCTTCCTCCTTCGTCGTCGTTCGCGTCGTCGCCGTCCTCCCTCCTCCCTCGTCGTTGTCGTCGTTGTCGTCGTTGTCGTCCTTCCTCCTCCCTCGTCGTCGCCTTCGTTGGCGTCGTCGTCGTCTTCGTCGTCGTCGGCGTCGGCGTCGTTGTCGTCGTCGAAGTCGTCGGAGACGTCGTCGGTGTCGTCCTAGTCGTTGTCGTCGGTGTCGTCGTAGTCGGTCCCAAGAGGTTTTGCAAACCAACTTGCGGGTGGGTGGGTGGGATGTTTGCACGAGCAGTAGAGAGGACAGCTTCAAGACGGTCAAAGTGAATTGCACCATATAGATTGCACCACATAGGTTGCACCGCATAGCCTGTACCACATAGCTTGCACCACATATATTGCTCCACTGACATTGCACTACATCGATGTGTTGACATGCGTTGCACTACATAGTTTACGCCACAAATTGTGCACCACATGAATTGCACTACATTGCTTACATCACGCAACTCACACAACATGTATTGCATCGCACAGACTGCGCCACATAGGTTGCACCACATAGGTTGCACCGCATAGCTTAAACCACGTAGCTTGAAACACATCGATTGCACCACACAGATGGCACCAGAAGACTTGCACCACATAGGTTGCATCACATCGTAAGCCAGAACACCCTTTTTGGAGTCCACATTGTCTAACATGGTGGGCTTAACCTCAATTTATCTGGCCTGATCCCCATTCCCAAGAGTGAAATGGAAACAAGTCGTCAAGCTCTGTGGGATGGTGCGCAAGAGGGAGGGAGGGAGGGAGGGAGGGAGTGGAGGACGCGACATTGGAAGATCAGATCAAGCTTCGGGCCTAAATGGACATCGGTGCGACACAGCTTCTTGAGGTCCGTGTCACAGATCTCCATCACCATATACAACTCGTCGAATCCCTCCACATTCAAAGGGGCAACGATGTCGTAGAACCAAAGGTGCCCAACACAGAGGGCACAGTTGGCGCAGTCGCACAAAAATACACAATGAGCACTGTACGTACATGAGTTTAAACACTCACGTGTAGTGTGGCGAAATCTCAGGACCCCTCTTGTGAGGAACGCATCTGAGCATAGGATCCAGGCAAAGAGGTGCCGCGCAGCTCCGAGGGTTTCGGACCTCCGCACGGGAAGCCCCGCCCACCACCTTTTTCCCCCTCCCCCTGTCTGTAGAATGCGGTTTCGCCTCCTCCTCCTCCTCCTCCTCCTCCTCGTCCACGTCCTCGTCCTCGTCCTCGGCCTCGTCCTCCTCCTCGTCCTCCTCGTCCTTCTCCTCTTTTTTTCGTTGCACGTTGCACGGGGCACGGTGCAGGCGACCCAGGACGCGGCGTGGGCGAGCGAGCGAGCCCCCTCAGGGGCCGGCGCGCGCGGCGGGGTGGAGCCGCCAGTGTGGCCCAAAGGCATCGCAGCCCCCCCCCCCCCTCCTCCTCCTCCTCCTCCTCCTGCTCCTGCTCCTGCTCCTCCTCCTCCTCCTCCTCCTCCTCCTCCTCCTCCTCCTTCTCGTGATAAGAAGTACTTGTGCTGACGAGCTTGCAGGGCACGCCGCTGCCCGTGCCAGGCTGTCTCAGCATGATCGCTCTAGAGTGTGGCAGGTGGAAAATGGGGCACTTCTCGTACGGCGGCGGTTGTTGCGCGCAGGCCTTGAGGCCCTCAATCTCGTGCAGGCTCAACCGACCACTTCCCCGACCGCGGCTTCATCACAGGCGGGGCCTCCTCTCCTTCCCCCTCCCTCGCTCACCTCCCGCACGGTCTTCGGGACCGCCCACATCCTGGGCGAGGACGGGCGTTCCTGTCTTCGTTGCCGCGGGTCCGCCTCTGCTGCCACACTTGTTGGCTGGAGAAAAAACATACACACACACACACACACTGTTTTTCTCACCCCTGGAGATG